ACTGACAGGCAGTCACAGCGTACTATTCAGATTCTAGAAGATATGCTTCAAGGTTGTGTTCTTGACCTTAAAGGGTCATAGGAGAGGCATTTGCCTTCAGTGGAGTTCACCTATAACAATAGTTTCCAATCGAGTATTGACATGGCCCCATTTGAGGCCTTGTATGGCCAACCGTGTAGATCTCTTATGTGTTGGGCCGAGGTGGGTGATGCACCTATGATAGGTTCAGAGTTGGTCTGGGAAATGATGGAGAAGGTTACACTTATCCGTAAGAGGTTGATCACGGCTAAGAGTTGCCAGAAGAGCTATGTCGACTGTAGGAGGAAACCATTATCGTTTGAAATAGGAGATCACATCTTCTTGAAGATATCATCTAGACGGGGTTTGATGAGGTTTGGGAAGCGTGGGAAGTTGTCTCCTAAATTTATTGGACCTTTTGAGATCCTAGAGCAGATTGGGGAAGTAGTTTACCGTTTGGCATTACCACCACAGCTTTTCGGGATTCATGACGTGTTTAATATCTGTATGCTCCGGAAGTACGAGTCGGATCTATTACACGTGTTGGATTGGATTGAGTTAGAGGTAGATGAGGATGCCTTGTATGAGGAGAGACTGGTTAGAGTTTTAGATACTCAAAACCAAGTCTTGCGAGGCAAGACAATTTCATTGGTAAAGGTATTGTAGAGGCGTCACGGGGTTGAGGAAACAACTTGGGAACATGAATTGGAAATCCGTGAAAAGTATTCCGGCCCATTTATAGGTGTTTGAACTTCTATTGAAAATCTTATCATGTTAATGTAATATAAACATTGTATATGTTTTTAAAATGTTAATTGTATATTCAGTATTGATAACTTGTTTATCCTTGTTATGGAAATGAATGACCGGTGAATGGATCATGGCAATGAATTTTATTTACTATAATTGTTGTAATTGATTTAATACAGTGTTAATGATTTTCAAATTTCGGGGATGAAATTTCTTAAGAGGGGAGATTATAGCGATTATGGTTTAGACCTGATCCATTTGATGTTATGGTTCCTGGTTTCATTGCCTTATATGGTTGTTCATGTCTTATTTCTCCTTATTCCTCTTTGAGTTTGGTTATTGGAGTGTATTGATTCCGTTTGGAATAAGTCAGGATTTAGTTTCTCAAAATGATTTCTGCTTGGATTTGGCTTCTTCGCTTGAGCGACACTTCTTGCGCATTGCTCGAGCTATCTTTGAGAACTCTCAGTACTTTTGCAGGCTTGTAGAGATACTAGGAGTCAGCATTCTTCGCGCAAGCGGTACTTCTTGCGCTTACGCGGTGTTCGTTTAAGCCATATTTCTTGGGCTCCAGTGGTGGTCCTCTGTCTGCAAAAATTCCGAGAGTTTGTATTCTATGCTTGAGCGGCCACACTCTTTGTGCCTGGACGCTAGAGTGACATTTTTTTGCGCTCGAGCAGTCTATGCGTATATTAGTTTGTAAAAGTCACTTTTTGAGTCACTTTTTCATTTCTCTTTCTCTTTAAACATTCTAAAAAGCCTAGATCTAGAGCTTCTCTCTCTGAAACTCACATTCTCTCTACAAATACACCTAGATCCATTGATTTCTTCATCCTACTCCCTTTGATAAAAAGGTAAAGCACACCAAGAGCTTCGTCTTAATAAGAACAAAATTGATTTTCGGCGTCTTTGAGGTTTCTCTCTCTCTCTCTCTCTCTCTCTCTCTCTCTCTCTCGTCTTCTAAGCTTGATGTAGGGATTTCTCCACACTTTCTTTTGATTTTTAACTTTGTTATTCGCTTTTATAAAACAATATTGCGATTTGGAGATTTTTGAACAAAACTAGGGCTTTGGGTTAAAAATCAAAATAGGGATTTTCAAACAGATTCTTGAAAATGGTTGTGGGATTGAAAATGAGGTTGTGTTATGATAAAATGGTTGGTGTTGTTACTTAAAATTGATTTTGGAAGAGAAGGGAATTTTGCCCTAAAATCTCAAATGTCAATTTTGTAAAAAGAAATGGAATTGATATTGAAATTGTGAAATTGGATTGATATTGATGAGGATGGTGGAGTTGGATATGTATTATCACTCACATCTTGAGATTTGGAAAGTTTACCTCTATGCAAATTTAGTTATCTGTTAGAGATATCTATCTGTTTTGGGCTATCGATGGAGGATAGTTATGATTGTTGTAGAAATTGCATGAGAATTAGGAGAATTGAAACTAATTTCTCATCCATTTGCATTGAGCATTGTTACATATTTACACATTGACAATGTTTATTGTTTTGAGAAAAAATGGGTGAATCTGGGTAGGGGGTGCGGTTATGGAAATTAAGTTGGCCTGTGTGTACTTGGTGAAAGACCAGAAACTCGCGCGAATAAGTGTTGAGCCTTCTGGTTAATACCAGTAAAATTGATAATTGGTAGTACTTGTATAATCTACTTGCAGACACATACCTAGGGATTCCCAGAGCGTGATTCACTGCCCTGTTTTCTATTGTAAAGGAGTTGATTTCATGAATTGTGATATAAACAAGCATTACATGTTCTGAAAGAGATAAAAAATGTTTTGGGCACGAGTATTGCATATGCATTCACCTTATAGCTTTGTTAAAATTCATATACTACGTTGTAGTATCTCTACTAGGCTTTGACTCACCCTATGTGGGAAAATTATTTTTAGATGCTGATAATATGCCTCTGCCAAGGCAATAGCTTTGGAGATTGGAGCTGAAGGTTTTTTTTTTAACTGTATTGGATTTAAATCCATTTTGTTGTAACCAAGCAGTGTGTTGGAAAACTGTAGCCATTAGGGCATTATGATATTTGTTTAACTTTTCATTTTATTTCTCTATCATGTAACATATGCTATAGATTTAGGATTAGCCTTGTGAATGTATAATTGCCTATGTTACTCTTTTGTACATGTGATTAGAACTAATGAAAGATAATTACTTTATTATTGTTGTTATTTATTAATATTATGGATGATTTATTGTAATTATTTCGGAGCGTTACACTCCTTCACCCACGATACCTATAACACCTTTTGAGGTCTTTGCAACAAGTGGGATTAGATACTCAAATTAATTGCGGGCTTGGTAAATGGTGGTGCTTGTGTAGTTTTATTTGTTGTGATTTTGATATATATACTATCTACAATGGGATAAACAAAACCATTCTAGCATCGTAATCTCTATTCATTGTTTAAGGATTTCTGCTAATAATATTGGACAATAGAATGTATTGGGAAAAGATCGATTCGAAGCTGGTTACATAGGGGGATTCTACTAATAATATTAGACAATAGAATGATGGGACTAAGATTGCAGTTAATAGAATGGAGTCTGAAGTAATGAATGAGAGGAGCTAAGATTAGTTCAAGTCTAAGATTGTTGTGCTTAATAAGGTTCGACATCGGCATTTGGTTTCCCTTCCAGTAGATGAAAGACTACTTGTTTATGAATACTTGCCTCAAGGGACATTTAGCAAGAATTTGTTTAGATGGAAAGGGGAAGGGTTTAAGCCCCCTTATATGGTTCAAAGGCTGATCATTGCCTTGGATGTGGCTAGAGGATTTGAGTATCTACAAAGTTTATCCCGTCAAAGTTTTATTCACGTGGATTTCAAACCATACAATTTTGGATTTGTTCATCTTGCACTAGTCTTCAATTCTAACTAGGCTAGTTGGAACTTTTTAGTAACTTGAGCCAAAATATGCAGGTAATCTTTTATGAACTAAACATAACACACATATATTGAATTTTGGGCAAATTGCTCCCATAACTCTCGTAATTTGGCTCATATCAATTTAATCATTGTAATTCTAATTATATTGAACCAAATTGTCACAATATGAAAAATTAAAGGGCAATATTGATAGACTTAAAATTACATGACCAAATTGACATAAAGATAAATTACAATGACTACAAGTGTAATTTGGCATGAATTTTTATGTAGAAACCCATTCAAAATGATGCAATGGTAGTATTCTTTAAATGGATAAATTACAGCAGTTCTATACTTTGTCACTTATTACATTTTGTACCTTACATTTTCAGTTTGCTCAATTTAACTCTAATTTATTTTTTATTTTCTCTCATTTTGGTCCAAGCAACGTCGTTCAAGATTTTGACAAAAAGCAGTCTTGTGTACGACATGTGACCATTTTAAGGGCGTTAAAGTGGACATTTCACTCCTTTCCTCCTTCAATATTTTTCCCAATCTTTGATACTAGCCACCCAATAAGACCACCATGATGCACCACATCCATCTGCTACCTCCACACCAACGCTACCATTATGCACCTCTTCCGCACTACCCTTCACCACCAAACACCTCCACCACCCATTACTAAACACCCCACTACCACAAAATTACACCACATACCTCCATCAAAATGAAAATTTGAATAAGAGGGGGCAAGGATTAAAAAGATATATGGAGTAGAAGTCATGTCTATGGGCTATTATGATCAACACATCCTTCATGATCAGTAATGGAATATGAGGTGTCGATGATTGGCTCTTCCTTAGTAGCAAGTGACCCTCACAGCCATCATTGTTGATTTTCACCTTACTTCCAGCCTTGCTGTTGCCTTTTCCTCCCACAACCCTCATTCTCCTACAAACCATGTCGCCACCTTCATCTTTCTCTTAAACCCCTTATGTCTCCCTTCTCCAACCCCATTCCTTCGTCTCTCTTCATTTTCTGCTAGTTGATTGCCATCTTGTACCCTTTTTCAAAAATTGTTGTCTCATTTCCCCAAATGCCAGCCTGTCGCCTTCACCCCCTTCTCTATAGCCACCAATATTGTTAACACAACTAGACAAATAGAAAAGTATATTGAATAATATTATGTGTATGTCATACAATACAATGAAGGCCTATATATATAGGCAAGAAGGAGAAAGAGAATCCTAATCCTACTATATAACGTAATCCTAATCCTATTATATAATGTAATCCTAATCCAATATATATTACTAACAGCCCCCCTCAAACTCAAGATGGTTTCAAAGAGACCAACTGGAGTTTGGAAAGTAACTCATGAAAACGACCAGGAAGATGAGTTTTAGTAAATAGATCAGCAACTTGAGCAGCGGAAGAAACAAACTGGAGTTGGATAATGCCACTATTGACATGCTGACGAATAAAATGACAATCAATCTCGATGTGTTTGGTGCAATCATGAAAAACATCATTGTGAGCAATCTGAATAGCACTACGATTATCACAATGAAGAGTAGTAGCAGTAGGATGAAGTACACCCATGTCCTTAAGTAACCAACGAAGCCATAAAAGTTCCTGAGTGGTGTCAGCAAGAGCACGATATTCCGCCTCAGTACTGGACCTAGAGACAACAATTTGCTTCTTACTCTGCCAAGAAATCAATAAACTTCCAAGAAAGAAACAATAACCGGTAGTAGAGCGACGATCAGTGGGATCACTGGCCCAGCCAGCATCAGAATATGCACATAACTCAAGCGGAGTGTGAGCAGAGTAATGAAGTCCATGAAACAAAGTTCCCTTCACATAGCGAAGAATACGAAGAATAGCAGCATAATGAGTAGATCGTGGAGCAGACAAAAACTGACTGACAATGTGAACTGCATGAGAGATATCAGGCCGAGTAATAGACAAATAGACCAGACTACCTACTAATTGTCGATATAGAGTGGCATCAGAAAGGAGAGTGCCCTCTAAAGAGGTAAGACGAGCATTGTACTTAAGCGGGGTAGGAGCAGTCTTACTATCCGTGAGACCAGCACAAGATAAGAGATCAGATGCATATTTGGCTTGAGTGAGATATAAGCCACTTGGAGTAGAAGAAATCTCAAGACCAAGAAAATAACTAACAGAACCCAGATCTTTCATCTCAAAATGAGAGCTGAGAAAATGTTTCAGCTCATGAATGCCATCAAGATCATCACCAGTAATAATCATATCATCAACATAAAGCAATAGAAGAGTAATGCCATGGGGCGTCTTGCGAATAAAAAGAGCAGAATCATAGGAACTTGAAGAGAACGTAAACTGAGTAATGGTAGTACTGAACTTGGAAAACCAAGCATGAGGAGCCTGCTTGAGACCATAGAGAGCACGACGAAGGCGACAAACAGTATCTAGGGGATGCTCATAGCCTGGAAGAGGTTGCATGTAAACTTCTTTGGTCAGGTCACCATTGAGAAATGCATTCTTGACATCCATCTGAGATAAACCCCACTGCCGTGAGGTAGCAACAAGTAAACTACGAATAGATGTAAGACAAGCAACAGGAGCAAAGGTCTCCTCATAATCAATACCATACTCCTAAGTGAAGCCTTTAGCAACTAGACGGGCTTTGTAACGTTCAATTGTACCATTAGAATGAGTTTTGATTTTATAGACCCATTTACAACCAATAGGAGTTTTGCCAGAAGGAACAGCAACCATATCCCATGTATGGGTCTTATGTAAAGCCTGTAACTCATCTGCCATTGCTTGCTACCAAAGAGGATTAGTGCAAGCTTCATGATAGCTATGAGGTTCATGGTGACTTAAAATGGTAGAAAAACAATGATAATCTTGTAAATAGCCTGGCTATTTAGAGACTCGTTTTGAAAGAGGAACAACAGAAGGAGCTTCAGGAGAGCCACTGCTAGAAGAGAGAGGAGATGCTGAAGAACGAGTAATATCAGTACTCTCAAAAGATGGTAACAGAACAGGATCAGCAGGTAGAACAAGAGCATCAGGAATAGTCGGAGAACCACTGGATAGAAAGGTATCTATAGGAGCATCATCAGGAAAATGATCAACGGAAGGATCAGTGAAATATGAGATGGCGAAAGTTAAAGGAAGAGAGAATTGGGAGAGAGAGGAAAACATTTGATGTTCCCAAAAAATGACATGACGAGATATACGAAGACGGTGAGAGACAGGTTCCCAACATCGAAACCCTTTATATTCTATACCATAGCCTAAAAAGCAACACAATCGCGACTGTGGTTGTAACTTGTTACGTTCATGGGGAGGAAGGAGAACAAAACAAGCACACCCAAAGACTCGTAGTTCTGTGTAGGAAGGAGATGTACCATGGAGACGTTTATAAGAGGTTTGATTGTTAATGATAGGAGAGGGGATACGGTTAATAGTGTAAACAGCCGTAAGGGCAACTTCACCCCAAAAACGCTCAGGACAAGAAGAAGAGATGAGAAGAGCTCTGACTATATCAAGAATGTGCCTATGCTTGCGTTTAGCACGACCATTTTCCTGGGAGGTGTGAGGACAAGAGCGATGGGGAAGGGTACCATACTCACAAAGAAGTTTTAAAAAACTAGCCTCTTTATATTCTTGAGCACTGTCAAATCAGAAAACTTTGATAGAATAACCAAATTGAGTTTGAATCATTTTAACAAAATCACAATAAGTTTGAGGTAACTCCGAACGTTGTTTTAAAATATAAATCCAAGTGAATCGAGAATAATCATCCACAAAAATGACAAAGTATCTAGAGCCTCCCATTGTGGTATTGGGAGAAGGTCCCCAAACATCAGAATGAACTAAATCAAATGGAGAGTTTGAAACTAAATCACTTATATTAAAAGACAAAGCTGGCTGTTTAGCAAGTTGACAAGATTGACAATCATTATGATAATTAGAAGAAACATAACCTAAATTGCCACTAGATACTAAAGTACGTAGCCGACCAAAAGAAACATGCCCTAATCTAGAATGCCAAAGATCAAGAGAGGGACTAGATGCTACATGCTGAGCAGTAGGTGTAGAAAATGGTAGATGAAGATTGATGAGTTCAAACAGACGTCCAGTTTTACGCCCTATCCCAATAGTCTGTCCTGTCCTCGGATCTTGAACCTGACAACCAGAGGAGGAAAGGAGAACAATTAAACCAAGTTCACAAAGTTGACCAACAGAAATAAGATTTAGGGTGAGGGCAGGAATATGATAAGCATCAGAGAGAGACACAGTGGAGGTAGAGACACTACCAATATGACTAACAGACATGTGAGTGCCATCAGCAGTATGAATAATAGGTAAGGTACTAGAAGAAGTAAAAGAGGAAAAAGCAGTGGAATCTGATGGCATATGATTACAACATGCAGAATCAAAGAACCAAGAAGAGCTACCTGGGGTGACGGATAAGGCAGTGTTATGAGAGGTACCAGAATGTGCCTGTTGAAACATGGCCTCCATATCATTTTGAGAATAATATGGAATAGGTGGATCTATAGGAGGAGTGGAATCCTTAATAGCAGCAGCGGCAGTAGCAATAGATCGAGAGGCAGGCTTATACCGAGACCCTTGTTTATAGTGACCCCCTCTTGAGTTCCCAGAAGAGTGGTTATTTCGAGATTGTTTCTGAGGACAGTGATGCTCAAAGTGACCAGGCCCTTGTTTGTGACAAGTACGACAATCCCGAACTAGACAATGAAGAAAAGAATGACTAAAATTGAGACCGCGATTCTGACAATACTGATAAATCTGGGTGAAGGAACCAGAAGGAGTTTGTGTGTGAGGAACAACAAGAACAGTGTCAGTAGTGGGCTTAAGAATACCAAGACGAGTCTCCTCATACAAGAGTTCAGTCACAGCTTGTTCCAGAGTGGGTAAAGGATCCTGGTGTAATAGAAAAGCTCGGGCAGGTTCAAAAAACAGGAATGAGAGCCATAAGAAACTCAACCAAACGGTTCTTATCATGATAATCAGCAAAAGATTGGACATCGTTGTCATCAACCCAAACAGGCTCACAAATAGAAAGCTGATCCCATAAACTATACATGGATGATAAGAAATCATTAATGGATTGACCTGGTGCCTGACGAATTGAGAGATAGAGGACAACATTTGATGTTCCCAAAAAATGACATGATGAGAGATACGAAGACGGTGAGAGACGGGATCCCAACATCGAAACCCTTTATGTTCTATACCATAGCCTAAAAAGCAACACAATCGCGACTGTGGTTGTAACTTGTTACGTTCATGGGGAGGAAGGAGAACAAAACAAGCACACCCAAAGACTCGGAGTTCTGTGTAGGAAGGAGATGTACCATGGAGACGTTCATATGGGGTTTGATTGTTAATGATAGGAGAGGGAATACGGTTAATAGTGTAAACAACCGTAAGGGCAGTTTCACCCAAAAAACGCTCAAGACAAAAAGAAAAGATGAGAAGAGCTTTGACTGTATCAAGAATGAGCTTATGCTTGCGTTTAACACGACCATTTTGTTCAGAGGTTTGATGACAAGAGCAATGGAGAAGTGTACCATACTCACGAAGAAGTTTTAAAAAAACTAGTTTCTTTATATTCTTGAGCATTGTTAGATCAGAAAACTTTGATAGAATAACCAAATTGAGTTTTAATCATTTTAGCAAAATCAAAATAAGTTTGAGGTAGCTCAGAACATTGTTTTAAAATACAAATCCAAGTGAATTGTGAATAATCATCCATAAAAATGACAAAGTATCTGAAGCCCACTATAGTGGTATTGGGAGAAGGATCCCAAACATCAGAGTGAACTAAATTAAATGAAAAATTTGAAATAGAATCACTTGTATTAAAAGACAAAGCTGGCTGTTTAGCAAGTTGACATGATTGACAATCACAGAAAGGAGAGTGCCCTCTAAAGAGGTAAGACGAGCATTGTACTCAAGCGGGGTAGGAGCAGTCTTACTATCCGTGAGACCAGCACGAGATAAGAGATCAGATGCATATTTGGCTTGAGTGAGATATAAGCCACTTGGAGTAGAAGAAATCTCAAGACCAAGAAAATAACTAAGAGAACCCAGATCTTTCATCTCAAAATGAGAGCTGAGAAAATGTTTCAGCTCATGAATGCCATCAAGATCATCACCAGTAATAATCATATCATCAACATAAAGCAATAGAAGAGCAATGCCATGGGGCGTCTTGCGAATAAAAAGAGCAGAATCATAGGAACTTGAAGAGAACCCAAACTGAGTAATGGTAGTACTGAACTTGGAAAACCAAGCATGAGGAGCCTGCTTGAGACCATAGAGAGCACGACGAAGGCGACAAACAGTATCTAGGGGATACTCATAGCCTGGAGGAGGTTTCATGTAAACTTCTTTGGTCAGGTCACCATTGAGAAATGCATTCTTGACATCCATCTGAGATAAACCCCACTGCCGTGAGGTAGCAACAACAAGTAAACTATGAACAGATGTAAGACGAGCAACAGGAGCAAAGGTCTCCTCATAATCAATACCATACTCCTGAGTGAAGCCTTTAGCAACTAGACGGGCTTTGTAACGTTCAATTGTACCATCAGAATGAGTTTTGATTTTATAGACCCATTTACAACCAATAGGAGTTTTGCCAGAAGGAAGAGCAACCATATCCCATGTATGGGTCTTATGTAAAGCCTGTAACTCATCTGCCATTGCTTGCTACCAAAGAGGATTAGTGCAAGCTTCATGATAGCTATGAGGTTCATGGTGACTTAAAATGGTAGAAAAACAATGATAATCTTGTAAATAGCCTGGCTATTTAGAGACCCGTTTTGAAAGAGGAACAACAGAAGGAGCTTCAGGAGAGTCACTGCTAGAAGAGAGAGGAGATGCTGAAGAACGAGTAATATCAGTACTCTCAGAAGATGGTAACAGAACAGGATCAGCAGGTAGAACAAGAGCATCAGGAATAGTCGGAGAACCACTGGATAGAGAGGCATCTATAGGAGCATCATCAGGAAAATGATCAACGGAAGGATCAGTGAAATATGAGATGGCGGAAGTTAAAGGAAGAGAGAATTGGGAGAGAGAGGAAAACATTTGATGTTCCCAAAAAATGATATGACGAGAGATACGAAGACGGTGAGAGACAGGATCCCAACATCGAAACCCTTTATGTTCTATACCATAGCCTAAAAAGCAACACAATCGCGACTGTGGTTGTAACTTGTTACGTTCATGGGGATGAAGGAGAACAAAACAAGCACACCCAAAGACTCGTAGTTCTGTGTAGGAAGGAGATGTACCATGGAGACGTTTATAAGGGGTTTGATTGTTAATGATAGGAGAGGGGATACGGTTAATAGTGTAAACAGCCGTAAGGGTAGCTTCACCCAAAAAACGCTCAGGATGAGAAGAAGAGATGAGAAGAGCTCTGACTATATCAAGAATGTGCCTATGCTTGCGTTTAGCACGACCATTTTGCTGGGAGGTGTGAGGACAAGAGCGATGGGGAAGGG